TAAAGAAAAGTTATTGAAACTAAATACAACTAAATAAACAACAACAACTAAAACAAATAACAACAACTACTAATAACAATAACTAAATAAACAACAACTAAATTCCATTCGATTAGCATTGCGTCATATGTTGTTCCTACTAAATCGAAGTAGTTGTGTTTTTTTCATATTATACCCAATTGTTAAAGGATTTTACAACGCCATCTGGGGGTGAACGGTTATCGTCATCTGGCAACACTGCGTGCAACTTTAGAATTTCTAATATTTATTTCTTGTTGTTCATATTCTGTAATAATTTATTTTTTGATGCATTTTGCATCTTCATAGTGTTTCATCTTATGCAGAAAAAAGAAAATGTCTCTGGCAGAAAATGTAAACACAGATTTTCTTCCAATTATTTATGATGTAATTCGTAGGTAATATTTTCGAAAAGCAAATTTATAATTTCTTTTATAACTATGTCTTAAATCATTCCTTTCTATTTAGTAAATTTGTTGAACTGTTGTTTAGTAATTAAATCCGTGTTAACTGATCTTTCGAATGTTGTTAAAATTATTTCGTATTAGAAACTGCTTAAAACCATTATATGGTGCTTAGCGTTTTTAAAAAGTGTTTATTTATGCTTTTCGTTTTTTAAAAGATCTGTAAGGTGCTTTTTTATTGGGCGTTTTTAAAAAATGCTTAACTTTTCCTTTTTGAAAATGAGATTTTCACATTGTTCTTTCCTAGGGTTTCACAATTCATGCAAGCCCAATGCATTTCTACGTGCCGTCGGTCAGTAGCTTATGAAAGCACCGAACATTTTACGTGAAATAAATTGTTTGTTACGTGAAATTAATTGTAAACAGTTGTTGAGGGTATATTGAGCTGGGTTCCTTGAGATTTTTACACTCTCATGTGCAACTCTGCTGCATTTTGCAAGCTATTCTCAATTTCAGGCTTCATTTTCCACCCTCTGGAAACGAACCGAAAAATCTCTATCTTTTTTGGTGGCTAATATTCAAATATAAAAGTAGTAATATTTCTTTTAATTTACGAAAGCATATTTAAAATAAATTAAATTTTACTTTATTTTGTTAAATTTGAGCTAAATAATCATAACATTTTGAAAAAATTTGAAATTTATTAATGCTGGGGCAAAATGAGTGATCCGGCACTGCTAATATTGTTTTTAAAAAAAAAGAGTTCTTTGTCAGAAACTAGTTATTTTATCATGATCATGTAAAGTCTTTGAAAATTATTTTGCATTTTGTTAATATATAGTTCTTAAAAATATTTTTAGTGCTTAAAAGGTGCTTATTTTTTGTTGAAAGATTTGACTACGCACCCTGCATTAACTGCCTAAGCACATTAAATTTTGGAAGATTTTTGAATGGTGATCTTTGGCAGAATAACCGCGAAATTTTAGCAATTTCCTATGAAGAACTAAAAAGAAAAGAAAAAACATCACAAAGGGAGATTAACTTAAAGGGAACGTTGTCTTGATGTGCAATGTTTTGAATGCAATAGAAAGTTTTCTTACTCTTTACACTGCTTGATAGTATTTTTTTTTTAAATATAAGACTGCACTCCTTCCAACTACAAGTGCTAAGGCATCAAATAGATTTTAAACTTAGAATTCATTCTATGAATATATATCTATAAAACATTTAGCTACAAATCATAGTTTAAATTGGTCCCTTCTGTGATGTTTTTTTGTTTTGAAATCTTTTGCAAGCCCCCCCCCCTTCTTGCTTGATAACTGCCCGGAAGTTATCAAGATTTAATGGTTATTCTGCAGCAGATCTGGCTACAGGTATCTTCTCTGCACTGTTAGTATATGTGAATGTTTTTATAATAATATGTAGGTATAGGCTGAATAATAGTTCAAGCTAGATAATAAACATTTGGTTTGATGAATTGATTGTCTTGCTCTAGTTAAAATTTTGTGATAATAAAGCTTATTTTACCCTGCAATACCAGATACTCCTTTTCATGAGGATATTTCCGTATCGCGATCTGTGGTGCCATCTACAATCGCCAAAGTGCCGAATAAATTTTAAACTTGCAAATTTTAAAAAAAATAACATGTAGATGTTTGCCCCGAGGGTGGCTACAAGTTGTATCTTTCGAGTTGGTCCCTTTCTGAGATGTTTTTTTTTTTAGTTTCTCGCGCACCACTGCCCGGAAGTTTACAAGACTTGGTGATTATTCCTCCACCCCACCCCCACCCTTTTCATTAAACATAATATTGAATTGAGGAAAAAGAAACTGTTAAATGCTTTTATAGCATTTAACATAATTATGACATTATACTGGGCAGCGGCCCACGATAAAGGGACCAACTTGAAAGGTATAACACATAGCTACCCTTGGACAAACATCTACAGGTTTGTTTGTTTTTTTAAAAATTTGCCAGTTTAAAATCTATTTGGCACCTTGAGGATTGTAGTTGGCATGATAGATCACAAAACGGAAATATCCCCAATATGTTTTGCGATTTTTCTTACTGCGTGTTAAAATTTTTTATCCTTGTTAGCTTTAGCAAATTTTTTGCAAGCAGTGAGATTGACTTGCTTTTTTATGTTCTAACATCACTTAGCTAAAATTGGTTTCTAGTTTTTTTAGTTCTTAATATTTATGTTATTTTTCTGCACTCACATTACAATGAAATGTTATAATGTTCAGTTAGTATAGTAAACAGCTGGAACATTTCTATTTTATTTTTTTTTTAAGTTAGGAAAATATAAATATTTTATATTATTATTCTTTTGCATTAAAATTTGCCTTTATTCAAAGAGAGCAAATTTCATTTTTTTGTTTGTAGTTTGTCCTTTTTTTTTATATGGCATTGTATAGTTGTGCTATTTTGTATAACTCCATTACTGTGACTTTTGCATTGTATTAAGTCCTGTTTGCTATCCCATACATATAATGCTATTTTAATGTGGATTAGAGCATCCAAACTAAACTGTTCATTTCAATATAGAAAAAGAAGTTCTGCTTTATTTATTCAGGGTGCGTAGAGTTTTTAAAGGGTGCTTATTTTTTATTTACGTCTTTTGAAAGTCCTTGAAGGTGCTTTTTTTTTAGTCGTGGTTTGGAAAATATGCTTAATTTTATATCCTTTAAAAAGTTTTTTTTTTTTCTTTGCCGTATTGATTGTCGTTCTAAATTACAAAAAAAAAATGGTTGATTTTTTACAATTTTCTCTGCAATATTTATCGGAAACTAGTTTTTTTATCATGATTTTGTAAAGTTTTGCAAAAATCTTTGAATTTTATTGATTTTATGTTTATAAATTGAGATTTTTAAACGATGGCAAAAAATAATTTTACTGCTGCACAAATCCTAATTAAGATTTTTTTTTTTTTTTTGAAAAATGATTAAAAATATTATTGAGCTCTTAAAAGATGCTTATTTTTTGTTGAAAGAATTAGCTATGCACCCTGTAACAGTTATATGAATGTATGTTATTTAGTGAAAATGTCTGCCCATAAAAAGCCAAACATATGTTTGGAGCAGGAATTAAAAATTTTGAAGTAGATAGAAAATTATGTTTTTGTCAAAATCTAGTACTTATGAGCTTTTTGAGTAAATATTTGCTATTGTTTTGTGCCCTATGAAAGAATCTTTCAAGCTATCTGCGACAAAACTCTCTTATCTTTCTACAAGATACTTTTAATTAGAACAAGCATGTGTATGTTACTGTGTTTACAAAAAAATGAAATTTTATAATTTTTTTTAATTAAAATTATGGGTGATATTCTCGCATTTTGTCGGGGATGCACAAATTATTTTGTTAATGTGACTCTTATAGTCACTCAAAATTAAAATCACGAGGAAGGGCTAAAATTAGATTTCTAGAACATCTCAAAGTCTTCGATTAAATAAAACTACCGTGGGAAATTTCCATCGGCAAATAGTTACTTAAATAAAGGAAACTTACTAGTCTTAAATTTAAACAAAAAGTATTTTATCCATAACTAAGCCATTTTAGCATTAGCATTTACAATTAAACCTACATTAAAAATCATGAAATATGCATTAGTAATTGCTTTAAAAAAAATTTAAAAAAATCAACGACAGATTTACGCGAATCGAACTTCTCAAGTGCGTGTTTCATTTCGAGATTAGGTCATTGTAATAAATAATATCATGTAAAAAATATTAGATTTAAAAATTATGGAAATCAATAGCAATAGCTGCCAAAAATTCAATAGAATTATTACCTTCAAAAGTAAATATTCAAATAAGTGATTCAAATTTTCCATATTGTTTGATATGTCTCGGGAAATGTGCATGAATATCAATAGCTGCCGAAAATACAATAGAAACACTACATCAATATACGATACTACGGCGTAAATTAATTGAACACGTCAAAAGAGTGATTATCTGAATACGTGATTCCTCTTCAGTATAATTTTCTTGGGCTTTCTGCAACATACCTCTCTTATACTAGCAGTAAATGGGACTCTTCAATAAAGGGTTACTAAATGCATGTTTTTATTTCGACATTCAGTTGTTGTAATAAATAATGTATTAAAAATAACAGATTTTAAAACTATGTGGAAATCAATAGTAATAACTGCATTAAAAAAATTAGGATGAAATTTTCTGCAGAAAAGAAAACCAAATTTTTTACCTCATTAATCTTTATTTTTCATTGTTCTCAAATGAGAATAGAAAAGGCTTTTTTTTTTTTTACTTGGATGCACGAGAAAAGCATCTTTTGAACACAATTCTGAAGAAAAGATAAGATCTTTCGAAAATTTCTGCAGAAAAAAAAACTTTTTACTTTCCAAAAGAAAAATTTTTCTGTTCTGCAACAATGACGCCACAATTCTGCTACAGGGTTTACGATAAAATTGAGTGAAAATTTTTTCAAATCTTAGAAAATTTACCAAATTTCCCATTTTAAAGAACTTTTTAATATTTTGGTTTTCATGATTAGATGTTAATTAGGGTGGTTATTTATATAATTAATCAAGTCATTACAAATTAATTATTTATCAATTAATCTGGTTGTTCTAAACTTTCTTGGTCTGTATCAAATTGTAACATAGACTGATGATTTATAAATTAATGTTCATAATTTTTCTCTTCTAAGTTATATCATAGCTCTTAAAATATATTTTTTTTCAGCATCGAAAAGGAAATGTTTGAAAATGCTCAGAAACCTCAAGAATCTGTTGAAAGTAGCTTGAAAATTCCTGAATTTAGAACGAAGCTCCAACAATGCCGCGAGCAAATTCAAAAGCTCCCTGGGGTTGATTATACTAAAGAAGAACAAATAAGGAGGTTGGATGCTCTCCGAGAACAACTAGTGCAAAAAAGGGAACTGTTACTTAAGTATAAAAATATGTGCCATTTTGATAGTCCAAAAATATAAAATTTACCTTTATAAATTGTCTTTCTCTTTATTTATATATATATAAATAAATATTGTGATATTCTCTTCTGTGCAAATCGCTAACCTTTTTTTTTAACATGTTAATCCAAAGAATCAAAAGTTGTTACAATGTTGCCAATTTCTATCTAAAAAGTGTGAGACAGTTTTGTTTCTATGACAAGAACTTTGAAAGTTTCAGAAATAAAGCAGAATACAGAAATTTAGTTGTGCAGCCAGTTCCAGATTTAAGTCAAAGCAAGATACAAGTAACTTCTGGATTGCCTTTTGCAACAAAAGCGGATGATGGTTTTTTTTACCATCTTCTGCAAAGGGAAAATGTCATGAAATTGTCACCATTGCAAGTAAAAGAAATTTTGAGTGTGCTTGCAAATAGCAAATTTGATGCAATAAAATATGCTTCTGTTCTCAAGTTCTTGGATGAAAAATGTGCATTAAGTGCTGAAAGATGGCCTTTGGATCTTTCTTTTTATATCCTTGATGCTTGGCTGATTATTTTGGGACAAAAAGCCTTCAGAAAACATTATTATTCTGCTATTACTAGCCAATGGAGTAGAAAAATTAAAAAATGTTCTAAGTCTAATTTGATATTGGTGCTTTATTTTATTGGAATGAGTAAGTCTGTACAACCTTTTTTAATGGATTCAGTTTTAGATCGCATGGAAAATATTTTATCAGAGTTGAGTGAAGAAGAAATAGCCCTAGCTTGTCTAAGTTTCTTTAAATGCAGCAAAAGAGTAAACTCAGTTCCTTTTTTGCAGCGATCTTGCCAAGCTGCAATGCACCTCCTTCAAAAGAACGACCAATTCAACGCGATCAGTGTCCTCAAGTGTTTACGTCTTTCACAGTATTACGATGAGCAATTGTACGAGAGTGTCGAAAGTTACGTTATAAAAAATTGCTCCACTTTTAACATGGTAGTGTGTAGCAATTTTCTCGCCTTGTTCGCAACACAAAACATTTACTGTGGAGAACTTTTTAATGTTTTGGAAGTGCAGGCCATTGCAGCATTAAATGAAGAAGTAGGTACTGAAAATTTAAAGACCCATCCATCCCTGAGGAGCCGCGTAAAGGACTTAGCTCGCTTTCTGTGGGCTCTGACCACAGTTGGACATCCTGTAATGGAAGATACTTTGACGTGCCTCACACGCCATATTGAAAAACGCCTAAAACTGGGTGAATATGAATCACAGCTTCCAGTCTTAGTGGATACTTTGCAATCTTTTGTGCTTGCCAATCACTACCCAGTGGATATTTTTTCATCAGGTTTAAGTCAATCAACATTTAAAAGGATTTATAATGGTGATAAAGCAAAACCAAAATATCAGTTATATTTTGTTGGAAGGAGTGTCACGATAGAATGCCCAGAAATTTCTACTCTTACCTCAAATGCGACCCATCCTATCCCAAAGCAACTGGAAAAAGAAATCAAAGAGAGGAGAGGATTTGAAGAAATTCTAGCTTTTTTAAATCGTAGATTTCCTGCCAGCCTTATAAGAAGCTGTTATATTATGCCCCACATTATGATAGCAGGAATATTTTTTTCCTCAAAAGCTCACACGCCAAGTGCTAGTGTTAGTCATAATCCAATGCTCAATAGTGTAATATCCAAGCAAGTGCAAGACATTATCAAAAAATATGAGGAATGTATTTGTTTTGAAATATTAGATTCCTCGGTCTGTGCAGGTAAAAATGATCAGGTTATAGGGCTAATGCAGACAAAGATTCGTCAACTTAAAAAACTCAATTTCAAAGTGGTTGCCCTTTCATTAGATGAAATCAATAAAATTATACAGGCAAATATCCCCGATGATTGCGACATTAACAAATTGTTTCAGGAAAATTTTGTTTAAATACTATTCATGTTCATGGTTATTGTTTGAATACGTTTTCATTTTTGGTATAAGTAAAGTTTTATTTATGCTTCTTAAGCCCCTTTTTTTAGTGCTTTTAAAAATGTAATTTTATTTAGACATACAAGGTTAACAATTGTGCGTAGTTAATCTATTAACATAATGATAATAATTTCTACAGTTCTTATTTGCCCCTATATCTTTAATTAATGTATGTTTTGTAAAAAACTTGGTATACTTTTGCCCTCATTTATTAATGAAAATACGGAAGAAGATCTATGTAGCGCAATTCTCTGTAATCCACATTAATTTAACAACATTATAAGCAAACCTGAATTGATAAATTTGTTTGTTTTTAGTTCTTATGCTCTTGATCATGTAGTGTTAATGATAAATACTAAAATATGTATTCTTATGTTTTAAACTATTTGTTATTGAAAATTATTTTGAAGTATTAATTTTTATCCATTCCAGATATAAATATATATAGTATACTCCTGATTTCTAGAAAACCTTGTTATGTCAAAAAAATATTTTTCCGCTTGGCATTACATATCCATCTAATATTAATTTGAATTACTATGATGAAGAGTTTTTTCTCAAAACCTCGTTATGTCAAATATTTTTTGAAATAGAAAAGGACTTTTTTTCCAATTCTTTTCTAACCATTCTTTTCTAGACCAATTCTTTTCTTTTTGACAATTCAATATTTGTGTTATAAAGATATGTGTGTAATAGATGTGGTAAAATATATGAATTTAAATAATGAATAAACACAGTGGTATATATTTTAAGTCGGAAGATTTTCTTTCATAATACTGTATTTAATATTTATATTTTGATCATAGTAGTTATTTTAAAATTAAGAGAGGGAAAATATGAAAACAAAGTTGTGTAATTTGCTGTAATCTTTAAATGTATTTTATTGAATTTGTCTAAGGTACATGATTGTTCTATTAATACCTTTATTTGAAAAAAAGTGTTAATAAAAGTATTTTAGATATGAATTCTGTTGAAAAATAAATCCTTTTTTCACTCTTTAATTATAAAACAAGTTAAAAACCACAAGGAAATGAAAAATTTATCCTTAATTAAAAAAAAAAATTTTTTTTTAATTATTAAGTTTTTTTTTCTAATTATTTTTGATATAAGTATTAAAAAAAATTTATGGATTTATCGTATACCTAACTAGTTTATGGTAAAAGTCCATTTTTTATTTCTTTAAAAGATGAGTCGAAAAAAAGTTTAAAAAATTTTAGGACAGAGTTTATATTTACAAGAAATTTTTCTTATCAATTACTTCGACCCATTATTATTTATCTTTTCAATAAATTATTTATTCTAACCATAGATAAGAATGAAAGAAAATTAAATCTTCTTTAAAATTTTAGACCAATAAAATGTAGCAACATCAGAAAATGACATAGAATAAATCATCTTACCTGTGTTTTTAAGAAGAAAAAAAGTGTTACAATTTATTTTTAAATTAGGGAATTTTTAATGAATAATTATTACCCTTTTCAAAAAATATTACAAAAGTAAAAATATGCAGTGAAACAAGTCATGTTACTGCTTCATTCCTCCATGTAAAAATATAAATATACATTTTTGAAGAAAATGTCTAATGAAAATAATTACGTGCAAGCTTTTGTCTCTCAGAATTCTTGAAAGAGCACCGTTTTTTTTCCCCTCAGTGGACATTTTCTAATATTTGATTACGTTTTAAGGTACCATCTATATAACATGTTAAAATGTTATGTTAGAAGTCTTCGATTTGGCCCTTTGCTTTGTTTAATGCGTACTTATATGAGTTTATTGAAAAGGTTGAAATCATGGAAGCTTTGTTTTGATCTCCTATTCTCGTTAATGGTGGATAATAAGTTATTTTTGCTGATCATTTATCTTTGAGTTAAATATCAGAGAAAAATAAATTCATGAATGAGTGATAATTTGTTTTATAAGGGTTATTTGCCTAATGTTAACATATTTATAACTTCTCATACTTATTCAAAGCAAAAGTATGAGGTGACCCATTAATAAAAGTTAAAAAAATATCATGCAGTGTACTCAGATAATCAGTGATAAAAACAGTAACATAGTTTGTATTTGTTTTGATAAAAAATTAAAATCGGTTACGCATCCTGATTTTTGTGTGAGCTCAAAACATTCCATTTTCTAGGAATACAAACTTGGTTTCTAATTAATGGATTTGAAGAATTGTAACATTATGATTTTTTTTACCAGCATCTTTTTATTTTAATGATAGTAAAAATTGCAAAAATTTGATTTTGAAAACATAAGGTTCATCCTTTAATTATATACATAGTCCAGGCTTATAAGTTTGACTGTGATTCATTATCCATCTCCCTTTGTTATTCAAGAGTTCTTTTTCTTGCCAACATTAACAATAATAACTACTAATGTGGGGAATGGATTGTACTTGCAGATAAGTATAATGTAATGATCAGCTGAGTGGGAAAAACATAAATTTTGTTTTAGAATCTCTATTTTCTTTCAATGGATACCTTTTTCTATTAAAGTGTAAAAGCAGTTGCTCGGCATAAATTTGCCCATACTTCACTACACCTATTTTTTTTTTTTTTTTTTTTTTTTTTTTTTTTTTTNTTTTTTTTTTTGAAGGTTAAGAAATTGCTGGTTGTTATTAGTAGTGGATTTCAATATTAACTTGCACATGTGCACTGTTTAATTTTAGAGCAGTGTGCATATGCAAAATCATGGTGAGGAGCGTTTTTAAAAAATGCTTAAAGGTGCTTTTTTCGAATTTCTGTTTTTTAGAAGCCCTTAAAGGTGCTTTTCTCATTGGTTTTTTTTAAAAAGGGCTTAATTTTCCCTTTTTCTAAATGAGATTTTTTTTTTCTTCTTTTCTATATCGATTTTCGTCACATATTATGCAAAAGAGTGGTTTTCTCATTGTTCTATTCAACGTTTTTACAATTTATTCAACCACAATCCATTTCCGCTTACCGTCGCTCCATATGATATGAAAGCGGCAATCATTTTACATGTTTGATGAAATACTCGCGAGTCTGTATGTAGGTCTACTGAGCTGGGTTCGATGAGATTCTTGTACTCTCATGTGCAACTCTGCTGCATTTTGCAAGATATTCTCAATTTTGTACTTAATTTTTCACCCTTGAAATCGAACTGAAAAATCTTATCTTTTTATGGTGGTTCTAATATAATCAAGAAAAGTCCTTTGTCAGAAACTAGTTATTTTATCATGATCATGTAAAATCTTAGAATATTATTTTGCCTTTTGTTAATGAATATAGTGCTTAAAATATTTTTTGAATGCTTGAAATGTATGTAAAGGTGCTTGTTTTTTCTTGAAAGGTTTTGCTAAGCACCCTGAAAATCTTTACCTGGGTTTAACTGGAGTTGCATATTCGTGCACTTATTGCTGAGGCTTGGGACCCCTTTCAAGAGCACTTATCCAGAGAAAGAGGGGGTTTTGCTGTTAAGCGTAAATGCATGAAATTACTGAAATCGAAGCACGTTTTGCAATAATGTACATAAGTTTTATTCACATAATTTGTTTACTTAATTTTTTTCTTGTTTTGTTACATTTCTAAGCAAATTTTTTCAGCATTTAATGACTTTTGAGATTATCAACTTTGATTTTTACTCATTGTTTAAAAATACTATGAAATGTGCAGATTTGACGAGTTAAATTTGTAACTTAAAGAAAAGAAAATAAGATACTTTTATGTCCAATTATTTAATTATTCTTATAATTTGAGATCAGAGTTGTACCCCATGATCATTTTTAAAGAGCAGTCATAAATCATGTAATTCGGAGACATTCCTTTCCTCTCATGTTTTTGTATCAAAAAAACATGTGCATGTGAGTCATGTTTTTTATTGAGTAACTGCTCAAATCCTATGAAGATGCAATGCCAACTTGTGCCTAAAATTATGGTTTTTAAAACAGTCCAGTACATGGTCGCAAATACTTTACGGCCAGGCGTGAATGAGAAGTCGTATGTCAGCCGAGAAATGAAGGCGTTTCGTGTTGGCAGTGGGCGTGAAAGGATTAAGTTCAATTCCAGATATAAATGTCCCTAGAAATTCACTGCACGGTTTTTTTTTTGTTGAGGTTAATGAACTGCCCAGATGTTGTTTTCCTACTATCTACATTGCCCTGATAAATTAAGAATGTTTGTAGGGATGCACAGTACGCCATGATAGAAGACTGTAATTTTAATTAAAAGCATCTCATTTTCAATAGAGCCCAGGAATGTTTTTAAAAGTAAATTTGTTGTATGTGAAAAGATTTAATATGATTGTGGAGTAAAATTTTAATTTTTGTGCATCTGTGAAACCGATAATTTCAACATTGGTACAGGGGTCGCATTTCCCCTAAAATTCATAAAATTCCTAAAAGTATGTGCAAACCCTAAAATTCATAAAAATCTGATAAAATTTTGTTGGTGTTCCAAAAAAATTAGAGTCATAGGCTAAATATAAATAAAAAAGCAATAATCTAAAATATAAGAATTTAACTACATTAATTAAAACTGTTTTAATTTTGCCGCATGGGAATTCTGATCCTGAGAGAGGTTTTTCGATAAATAAAGCAATGCTTAATGTGAGTCACCATGAGAATACTATTATGTCTCTTAGACTTATCAAAGATACCATTTGAAATTATGGCGGAGTGTTGAAGATCACCACAACACTATTGAGAGCAGTAAAAGAATCTCACAAATCATATCAAGAATATGTTAGAAAAATGATCATGATTAATTTGTTTTTCTCTAACTTCTAATATAAATTGCTGATTTGAAATCTAATATTATCACACAATAGTTTTTCTTAATAAAGTAAGGTAAAGGGTAATAATAAAGTTTTGATTAAGAAGGTAAAAATTAAATAAAAATCCAAGTTGGTGTTAATTTATTTTTTCTNTTATAGAATAGCTGTAGATTAGCTCCAACTAGTATTTGTCTTTCTCGAGGAGCAGACATATGGAATCTAATATAGGTGAATTGTACTTCACATGAGGCTGACTACGCGTTTTAAGTTCCAACGAACGGATTTTTCTGCCGGCTCTAGTTCTAACATATTTTACTGCGTATGGAAAGATTGCACACATACAACGTCATTGTAAATAATGGTGAAATTATTAAATGTATAAAATGGCTACTGCCTTTTTGAGTTATTTGTAAACATTTTTTATCCCAAAATGGCAACTAAAAAACGCAAAGTTGATGTAGAGTGACATGCACTCAGTGATGAATTGACTTTATTTTATTTCAGAAGTTTTTACTCGGCCCACCAAACTTTTTTTTCTAGATTTTTGGCCCACGACCCAAAAAGTTTGCCCATCCCTGCTTTAGAGATTTCATTCTTGACTTAATAAATTTCAGAGCTTTATTTTATGGCTTGCAATTATTTATGATATGTGTGGATGAATTGTAATAATCTTCTGTTATGTAATAAACTACCATGTGATCTGTTTTTATCCTAACAAAATCATATATTACCCCTAAAATTTACCTAAAATTTTTTGGAAAAAGTTCCTAAAATTACCCTAAAATTTTAAAAAGCTTTGCTGCTACCCCTGTTGGTATAATTGTGAGGTATTTTGAAGAATAGAAATAAGGTACACATTTTACAAGCGAGTAACTTCAGTGTGTTTATTATTATATCTTTTTTTTATATACATGTTTAACATTAAAGACATAGTTTTTATTTATGTGTTGCAATTTTTTTCCCAAACTTGCAGCAGAGATATAACAAAACATGTTTAGCATTGTAGAATAATAACTTTCAGTGTGTCTATCGGTATATTTTTATGAAATTTGCAACAGGCTATTAATAAAACTGTTACTGGAAATTTACATCTGATATATATCTGCTGTGTTTTCTTAATGAAATGCATGTTTTTTGTTGTTTAAAATTGATCGTAATACAAGTGAGACGCACAACAAAACAATTACCTGGGGGATAACATTTGACATCGATCTGCAGTTATTTTTGAAATGCATGTATTTTGTTAAAGAATGATAGTAAAACAAGTAATGTATGAGTGAACGCAGCAATAAAAATGTACTATAAGTGGTTTGCAAGGAAAAAAAATATTTTGTTTCTTTTTCGGCTATTTCTGTGCAATTTTTTTTTTCATTCAATGAAATTCAATGTTAAAAGTCATCTGTACAATACAGGGAAAATCTTGAACTGACAGGGAAATATGTGGAAAAAGTCAGGGAATTTGAAAATGTCTTCTCACTGGACACCCTGTAATAATGATAAATAAATAATAATAATTAAAAATTATTTTTTGCATTTTATTTATCTTTAAATAAACGAATTTTATAATAGTGTTTAATTTTACAATTGTTAGGTTGCTTCAGTTTTAAGAGAGTTGCATGAATCTTAACCTAGTTATATTGATTAGTGAAAAAAAATTTACTTCATTTACTCACTCACCCATTGCTGAGTTATTAAAATCAGAAGTTAGCTCAAAATATACATTTAAAGGTTTTAGGTAAAATACAATCTGGTAAAAATATCACATTGATATTATTTTTCATAATTTTAGATTTTGTATGTTAACTATTTAAAAGTGATTTCCATTTTTGTGTCAAAAGTGCATTGGGAGTTAAGTGTTGAAGTAGTTAATCTATAATTCAATTAAGTCAAATGAAATGTAATATGTTAAATTTTAAACAAATTCTGAGACTTCTTAAAATAAGTGATTTTTTCACACCCTTTAAGGAATAGCAGTTTTTTTTATGTATTAATTGCTATTTTTTAATTGCATCCTACTACCTATTAAAGAAAAACTACTTTTCGGAATAAGACTAATTGCAATTAATTGATATTGTCTATAGATTATTACATATAAAATACAGATTAAAGTATTAAACTTTTTTTGCCATGCTTCCCCCTTTGACAGGAAAAGGAACAAACTTATTTAAAAGTCATTTTCAATTGGTAAAAGTATTAAAAAAAATCTATACATAGTGTGTGTACAATTAACAATATCAGACTACAGTCTGCTTATGGTGAGCATGTGTACAGCAAAGCATGTCATATGATCAAAATGAATTTCAGTTAACTTAAATTCGCTACTATACGAAATCCACAGCTCAGTTTTTAAAGGGTTTACTTTATACCCCTTAATATTTTAAAATTTTCAGTTTTGAGAAATTTATCAACATTTACTCCCGACAGAGATGATTGTGCTCTGGAAAAAATCTGAATTTTTCAATAACCGCGATCCCTAAGTTTTAAGAAATCACCGATCACATTTGTGTATATAAGTTCTTGTATATTTTATTTAAAAATATTTGAATTTATACTTGGCATCTCTTTCATTTGTAAATATTTTTTTCTGGTGGAATAATACATGTGATTAGATATAAAAGTTAACTCATACATAATTATTCATTGAAATTAGGCTGAATTCATGTTTTGAAAATATCAATGATTTAAATTTATAAAGACATTAAGTTTTTGAAATGCGTCATTAATGATTTTATTCAAGAAATTTTCAGGATTTTTTGAGTTGGGCTCATGATCACTCCTGATTATCTGATCAAAGCTCGATGTTTTTAAGCCTTTACCAAAAAACGTTACATCAACATATATTTAATGGGTTTTTTAATTCAGTGTGGAATATGCCCAGTATATCCTGGAATAGCGCCAGAAAAAATGAGGCGTTGTTCTGTGGAGGGCACGGATCGTTGATACAGAACAGGACATCGATACCACTCGTTCACTTTTGGTCTTCGTTCAGCCACCAATCGTTCCAATCTGGAGGCGGTGAGGTCAGACAAATCCTGATGAGCACCTTTCGAAAAGGTCACACCCATGTCATCAAATTTACCAGTCCAATAACCTGTGTATCCTGAAGAAGAAGAAAGTAAATAATCTAAAAACAAATTAGTCTATTGTTGTTCTTGTCGTAGGTCTTTATATTTTATAACCGTCATTGAACAGCCGACCCAATTTTTGGGTTTATGACTACTCATGTTCAACTCCGTAGCCTTGTAATTTTGAACCCAATCCAGAAGACAAGGGAATTCCTGGAAATTTGCCTTCGTGGAGGACTTTTTGATGGAACTAACCCACGCTTGCGTTACATGGAGAGAAAGATCAACGAGAACTTCTCACGGTTAGCTTGGCGGCAAGGGGACTCTAACCTATGATCCGTCAACCACTGAGAATATTTCACGTCAGCACTGTGGTCGGAATTCGTATCGCCGGGACCGAACACGGTTCACCTCATTGGAAGGCGAACGCTCTACCCCTGAGCCACCGCGGCTCTGTCGTAGATCATTAAAGAAAGGGATGTGATTGTTCTTGTTTTCCAGTGGCGCCATCTTTGGCCCAGAATTCGACTTATGCCACAGCCATACTTCACGCCCATTTATAAGGCGGACCCATTCAGACATTCATTCATCTACAGATCATAATTTTGACCTGAACCAGAGAGCGATCCATCTCCAATTCAGTACCCCCAGAAATATTACTTTCCTTATGAGAGCATAGAGGACTTTGTGACCCGACAGACTTAACGTGCACCCGTCTTCGGCCGGTGGGGATCGAATCCACGACTTCTTGGGCATGAGCCCAACGCCCTACCAACCAGACTATCNGGTCTTCTTGTTTTCCAGTGACGCCATCTTTGGCCCAGAATTCGACTTATGCCACAGCCATACGTCACGCCCATTTATAAGGCGGACCCATTCAGACATTCATTCATCTACAGATCATAATTTTGACCTGAACCAGAGAACGATCCATCTCCAATTCAGTACCCCCAGAAATATTACTTTCCTTATGAGAGCATAGAGGACTTTGTGACCCGACAGACTTAACGTGCACCCGTCTTCGGCCGGTGGGGATCGAATCCACGACTTCTTGGGCATGAGCCCAACGCCCTACCAACCAGACTATCCCGGCCAAGTAAGTTAAATATTAGAGTAGAAAGATTTACTGATTGTAAAACGATGAAGAAATTAGGATTGCCAGTTGGTTATATTGCTGTTGACTTATTGATTTTTGTTCTGATTTACATGAGGCGTAATCTTAGTTAGTTTCTGAAACCAGAGTAGCATCAGTCTGACAGCATCCATCGGTGATCCATTTCACTTTTCTCAGTCACAGTGATTTCAAAGTTCTTAAATATGGTGACTTTCTGGCCATTCACCGTGATGCACTATTAGACTCGAATTTTCTACAATCATGAAATTTGTAATCGATGTAAGCAGCCAGAAAGAGTCATCAAATCAAATTGAATAAGTTATCTTGGACACTTGCAGAATTATTAACCACAAAGGTTTTATCCTTCAACAAGCCAGGTGGTATTAGGAAAAGGGGAAAACCTTCACTCAAGTGGCTTGATGACATTAAAAAAGATTTTTAAAAAAAAAAAACATTGAAGGTAACTAATTGGAAAACCAAGCATCGGGCAGACTTGGTTGGAAGAAACTCATTGGGACCAAGAAGAAGTAGGTGTATAACGTTAAAAACAATGAAAAGAGCTCATTTTTTTATTTTTAAATGCACCAATTTAAATTTCATCCTGGGTAAATGCGAAACAATAAAATAAAGGTGTTGAAAAATTGAAAGCTAATACACAACCCGAATGGGAAGGGGCCTCCTATCTGTTTCCGTTTGAATGTCTATGTTTGCTTTATAAGTAAAGTGATTCAACCGATTATATTACAGCTCTGTTTTGTGTATAGTTTGTCTACTTAAAAAACTCCCCTAGCCATTCGTCTGGAGTGGTGGTAACTATGGCTACGAGGTTTAACTATTTCATTATTTAAGGCAGGTTTTGACTCTGGTCGACGAGAGAGAGGATCAGGGAAGCTCCCCTCTATGAAATGCACTATATCTTGTCTCTATAGCAGCAGACGGCCTTAGACTTCGTGGAGCTGTTTCTTTAGACAAACTATATGTTTGGGAAAGAAAACCTGTTTGCACGCTTTGCTTCAGAACCGATTTTTGTTAATATTCAGCGCAATGATATGGCCTTTATGACAGGTTTTTGCGAAGAACCCAGCCCGCATTAATTGCGTTTTTACATGAAACAAGCCAATTTCACCCAGAGATAAGTGTTTTCTTTTGACGAAAAATTAACAACTTTTGCTTTTAAAATAAAGGAAAGAATTTTATTTTGTTTTAGCAGTTGTTGTCCGTTCCAAGTATAGTTTAAAATTTTAATGAACATCCAGAAATTCTCATTAAATTTAATTAATAATCACATACAAATGAACAACCAATGTATTCACGTTCCATTAATAAATAATTCCATTATACGTTCTATATAATTTAATCTTTCTTTTATAATTAGTATTGTATTTTGTTAAAACTGTCTCTTTAACTAAGAGAATTTATTGATCTTAGAAAAATTCTTGAATACATACGCCCTTTTGTTAAAATAATAGAGATCTAAGTATATTGAAAAAGTAATATTTTATTAATTACGATTTGCAAAGCAACACATTTTAATTTTTTTTATTTAATTAGACCAAAAATTTCCTTAGGGATGCCTGATTTGACACCCAAACGTTGTTCCTCTGATCAGCTATACTCTGCAGCCCTTGAGTATGCAATCCAAATATATTATATGTAATAAGCGGAATTATATGTATTGTGTGTGCACAGAGCCGGATTATACCTTTCGTGGGCCCTAGGCATAGCCGTTTTTGGGCCCTCCCCTCCTTCCCCCACTCCTCCCCTCTTTTCAAAATATATGCTNTTATAGATAAGTAACATTTTCAATCGTGTCTTTTTTTCACGTATTTATTTTATTTATATTAAGGCTGTTTTTCGAAAGCTCCGTCATAATATGAAATAATGCTTTTTTGCGAATAATATGCTATTTTTATGACTGCTGTGAATTTGCAACTGTTACTCTTGACTGTTTGATCTAGTTTAGCGTATCTGAAGCCAACGCTGTATACACATATGGCTTCAGGTGCAAAACGTCAATATGGAGAGAAGCCATAGTTTGTGGTCTAATTTTTAAAAACTTACTCCATGCTGCATTAACTGACTAGTTCTTAAAATTTGCAAAAACTAAGAATACGGCAATGATTTTGAAAATTTTTATCAAGGTGGGAAAATGAGCGATTTATTAAAAAGTTTAATAAACTTTTTAAATATTTGAGTTAATTTGTCTATTCTAAAGCCCAGATAATTCTTCACGGCCAGATTATATATATATAATATAGTTTAAAATCATCGCATTGCTTCAAGTGTAAGGCACTTATAGTGTAACTTTTTTTTTTCCTTGGCAACAGAGCTTCGAAAAAACGTTACATTTTGCTGGCAAAAATCAGATCTCTTTAATTTTTACTTCATATAATTTTGCATAAAAAGGTACTAAGTTAAATTTATAAAACAATAAGGTAATAATTTAAAAAAAAAACAATTTGGTTTGATAATTGCAAAAAAAAAAAAATATTTGAAAATGTTAAAATGTGAGAAAGAAAAGGAAAAAAAAAAAAAACACTTTCTGAGTATTGGATATAAGAAGAGGTCAGTCCGAAAGCCTGGGCTAGTTTACTGGAAAAAAAGTTTTCAGACTCGGACTCACGTAAATTGTTCTTAAACTTTTTTTTTATTATTTTTAAATAAACGTTTGGGTATACTTATACAGTGGTGGCCAAAAGTGTGGACACTTTTTGAAAGTTTCATGTTTTTCAACTTTGTGTGCTTGTAGAATATATTAATTTTCACTTAAATACAAAAGTTTATATATCAAATTGAAGGTAATTTAATGTAGAAGTTAATAATGATTACAGTATTACAATATCTGTATTATAAAAAAAGTTTTGCAACTAATAGTAAGATATATCTTAGATTTGCATTTTTTTAAAGTGATACTTACACAATCAATACTTAGTAGGATAACCCTTATTTTATAAGACAGCTTCCCAGCTTCTTTTCATTGATTGAACGACTGTTTGAAGTTCATCTTTTGTAATCACATGGTGCCAAGAATCAATTATAGCTTCAATAAGTTGTCTTTTATTGGATGGACGTTTTTTTCGTACAAGAATTTTCAAACGTCGCCACAAATTTTCAATTGGATTGAGATCAGGGCTGTTTCCTGGCCATGGTAATATATAAAGTAA